CTGCTTAATGGATTCAGCGTCTAAATGCTGCAGATTCCGTTTGCGTGCCCATCGATGGGGTGTTGATTTGAAAACTTTCCAAGTAAACTGAGACTTAAAAGTAAAAAAAAAAAAAAAAAAAAATAGATTAATAACTCACTAACCCCATAGTTTTTCAAATTCTCAATTATTCGAGTCATCTTGTGGGGCTCGACAATGCGAACCATTTTCATTGCATTTTGAATTCAGATGCAACTGCTTGGGAATCGTGACCAGATGATTTTAAAGTTCTGGAACCTAAACCATCTACCAAGTGACCTTTGGCAGGTGACGTAATTATACGATCACTTGTAATAATTGACTCGGAATTGTCTGTTGCGAGCAAAATAAGTAAGCCCGTCTGACCAAACATCAGCTTGTACTACTGAATCCATCGCTTTGCAGACGCAAAAAAAAACGTTCCAGCAAAATCATCCCACGAGTTTATTCAACACTGTGTAAATTAGTTTTCTTCTTGAACTAACTAATTTCGTCTGTGTGTTTGTTTCGCTTGGTAAAAACAAAAAAAAAAAAAAAAAAAAAAAACCCAGCAGAGCACGTTTATTAACGTTACTCCGGAGCTGACGCGAAAAAATAGCAGACCTTCGCTGCGCCCGCTTCGTTGTGTAAAAGAAAATAGGTGGATGAAGAAAAAGGATGGAAAAATTTTGTTTTCTGTATAATCCAGAAAAAAAATCTGAAAAAAAAAAAAAAAAAAAAAAAGGGTATGGACCCTTGGTATAATAGATTATCGCTCACAGTATTCGAAAGGGGTAACCCTTTACCATGAAATGTTTAGTGAATGCGCCAAGAGGAAAACTTTGTTCATTTGTTTCCCGTATTTGCGCGAGTGATTGTTGTTGAAACTTTCATTCCACCTCTCACGCGTAAAACACAAAAGCCCCACCCCCCAACCCCTTGCGATCGCGCTGAATTGTTTACGAACCCCGAAAAGCAAAGGCGGACCGAGCACGTGAGAACAAATATTTGAGAACAGATTACGAGAGTTACGGCCTCCATATTCTTAAATCATGGCGCAACAACAACTATACACTGCACCTGGCGGAGACAGCGGAATACACGCTGGTGTAGTGCAGGTGGTATCGAAATGTTTACATCTGAGGCTTGTCTTTTTTTTTGTTGTGACGACACTTTTGACGTAGTAAAATTGTATTTGACCAACCATAAAGTACCACATTGCGATCGAAATAAACAACAAACTAATCCGGATTTAGGAAATTTACGGTCCCAACAGTTGCTAGTTTAAATAATGTAATGCAGGGGAAATCGGTGGGAAAACGATATCTCGGGAGTTTCGACAGTTCCATGGGCTATACGTTCACGCGCACGAGGAAATCCTAGACAGAATTACGAGGCGCGCGGTAACACAGGGGTGGGAGTTGCAATTTGATGCCTTTGGCCTGAAAATTTAAAGTTATCGATTTTAATCAGGTTTTACGCCACTCGCGAGGGCGATTGCGAGCCAACGAGTTGCTTCAATTATTTCGTTGGCTGGAAAATTGTTTTCGTTTGGAGGTAATTTCACCTACGCACGCGCGTCCATCGCAAGGTCGAACCAATTACGCGGATGCTCCAGCTTCACTGTGCCGACAGTCTTGTTTGGTAATGCACACATGTACGAGAATCAACGTTATTTTTTATAGAAAGACAATTTCACTGAGGAAAATTACTACGTAAAGCAAGAGGCTCCTCAAAAGTTCAAGTGTTTCAAGCGAGGAAATTCGGTCGCTGGCAATCCTGTATCCCAGTAAACATTATTGGCAAAATTCGGAAAAGTACTTACTAGAGCACCAGATGCCGTCATCAGCAAGCCATTTGTCATGTCTTCCTCTGTACTTTCCTCCGGGCGCCCTCCATTCAGCGAGCAATATTACAAAAGTACGGATCTCGGAAGTTCGAGGGTGGGCTTCAACTTTGGGCAACAGAGAGTGAAAACTTTTTTTGTGGCCTTAAAAAAAAACCACGGCGAGATGGCTATTGAAATAATAGTAAAAAAAAAAAAGAAGACTATACTCGTATGTGCCTTTTTCAACATTACAATTAGCATTTTTAAATATTCACAGGATCGTGAATCCCTAACGACCCCCGAAAACAGTTTAATTGCCGAGGCTGCGTGAGAAGTTGGAATAAAAATGAAAGGCAACGTTTGTGGGATGATTGAGTGAAAAAAAAAAAAAAGAATAAAAAAATAAAAAACAGCAGACGGACCATGCAAAAAAGGGCACTTTCCAGATATTTGAATATTTATGGGCGTGCGTTTATCGTTGGTTACGAAAGCCAAAAATGAATTTTATTTCCCCTTTAGGAATCTTGGGGGGGGGGGGAAGAGACAAAGCCCTGAGCTTTCGCGGATTTTGCGTCCGAATGAAATTCTCGTGCGCAAATAGAGACGAGCCGGTGGTGAAGGGACGGAGGAAAAAAAAAAGCCCTTGATACGAGTGGTTTCGTGCAGAATTGTATACGAACGAGAAAACGACCGGCGACGAGAAAGAGGGAGAGAGAGAAATGTCGCCGCGACGAGAGCCCCGAGTGAAAGAGCCAGGCTGTGCGATAAGGCGCGACTCCTGTTTGCTAAATCAGCGCTTTTAGTTTTTCACGTTGCCGTAGACTTTTTTTCAAAAATTTTTTGCCCCTTGAGTCGCGCATCTTGATTACGGCGGTGTTTTTCGTTCGTCAAACCCGGCGATGCTGCTAATTGTCAAACGAAATAATTAATTACGAGATCATTAATTGGACAGTACTTGCAAGTCAGTTTGCAAGAGAAGGGATGATAAAACAACGCCAGCAAAGCTTTATAAAGAGAAGAAAAACTTATGTCAATTATATATTTCTCGGAATACTTTGGACAGCTTACGCTCGTACAATTACAATAAGCACAACCAAAGTATCTCTCAACCTTGTAGAGACGGAGTTTAATTTTTATATCAGTTCATGTTAATGATATAATTAAATATCGTTTTCTTTTTCGCTCTGGTGGAATTTTCCGTTTGTAACAATATCGTTAACTGACATACGGACTTGGGCTCGGATACTTAATTCAATTTTTATTATTTGCAATGTAATTTTTTGATGAAAATTTAATTATTTGTGCTTGTATGATTTTTTTTCAATTACTCATTACCACACAGTGCTTAGCAAAAAATTGTTGAAGCAGCAAAAATAATGCATTGCAATTAGAAGGAGAATAAAACAATTAAGACACTTTTGTCACACATTTTCAGCGACATTTCATATTCAAGCCTCCGCAACAAATCGAAAGATCTCCTCACACACGATCAGACAGCCGATACGAGCTTAGATGTAACACTCGAATTTATATAAAAAAAATAAAAAAAAATAAAAAAAAAAAAGCTATCCAATAGAGAACAGCGTCCACCGAGCTTCTTCCGAAGCAGAGTCGGGGAAAAAATAGGGCGAGCCAAGGGAGATGGAGTAAAATCGTCCGAGGCGAGAAGATACAAAACGACGCGGTGGAGAGAGAGAGTATCTGCCCTCGGTCGACTATATAGTACAGAGCAGCGGGCGGTGGCTCGTGACATTGATCGAATGACTCCTGGGAAGCGGCGCTCCGCTATCTCGCTCTCAAATAGATGCCACACACGCGCAGGCACACGTACAATCAGGTGCAAAAGAGAGACAGAGCTTTTAATTCCGCGGATTTATGAGGGAAGGTGGATCGCAGAGGTAAGCGAAGCCGATCAGGCTGGTAACGAGCAGAGAGCGGCGCATCGAGTTTTGTTTTTGGATTTTTTTTATTTTTTCTTTTATTATCCTTTTTTTTTTTCCTCGATGCGAGGGTCGAGACACGTGGGGACCCCACTGACATGCTAAACGGAGGCTGAGTCTGGACCTTCTTGGGGCGTAAACAAAGGGCGCACGATTAATCTTGTTGGCACGCTTGGGTTCGGGTGCTCTGTTATTTATGGAGTTTTTATGGAGCTTCGAGGGCTTTTTAACACCAGCCAGAGGATGGTGTTTTTTTTTTTCCTCCTGATATACCAAGGGTCCGTCTACGCGTCGAGAGGACGGAAAATTTTTCGTGAGATATGATTTTTCACAATTTCAGCCAGTCGTGCGGGTACAGGTGGTTATTGATTGTGCGCGCCTACACTTTTCAGTGATGCTTTTTGCTTCGGGGGATAAACAATTTTTTGTCTCGAAAAACTGGACTAATATTAGGCGCGTAAAAAAAAAAAATATTTTTTTTAAATCATTGGTAGCCTCCATGTCCAGCTCGAGATTTTCAGACGGTAAAAAATATAACTAAGGGCGAGGATCAATAATCGGTGTCGTGAAACCTTATGTAAACAAAGGCGATCACGAAAGCCCATTGCTCTTATCTTGATTGTAACGTCAAAACGTGTAATTTATCGCCCGTTGAAAGTCAAAAACAACTGGCTGTACGAGTGTCGTCGCGAGACTTCTCTAATGGTCTTTTCCACACCATTTGCCACCTATGGATATGTCATTTGTACACAGAATATCCTTCGAAGTATGAAAAAAAAAGGGCCGTGTGCAGATTGCGATAAACGAAAACGAGGGGGACGAGGGAAATAAAAATCAGTAAACTCCCCGAATCGGAGACACTTTCCTACACCCGCTCGGCAAGCAGTTGGCCGGAAAACAAGACCATCCATCTGGCGATTAAGAAAAACCGTGGGCAATAAATTCGCACACCATAGAGCTCTGTCCCTGAAAAAAAAAAAAAAAAAAAAAAAAAAGATCTTAGGTACAGAGCACGAGGAGTCGTAATAACCCAATGATTTTTGCAGCTGGGGCTAATCGTCCGTGATTCGGCGGCCCCGCGTCGCACTCAGTCAGCCGACCAGTCCACCGAGCAGCGATCCAAGGGTGGAGCGACGGAGGAGGCATGCGGGGATGAGGAGGAAGAGGAGGTGGACGAGGATCGAGGAGGTGGAGGGTGGAGGGCTTGGGATGCGGGCGGAGATACCCTGCGGCCCGCAAAGGGAGCCCCCGAAGCCCTAATATCCAAGGAGCTCTCGGCGTGACGTTTATCATGGACGCGGCGAGCCTCGGTGATGGCCTACAACCGGCCGACGCCGCCCACTTTGGCCTTGACGGCTCGTCCTTTTTTCGAGACTTTACCGACATCGTCACGGCCCTTGTGCTCGGCTTTCTCATCCTCATCACCGTCGTCGGTGGGTATTTTCATTGTCGTCTGACTAATTGACGAGCTGTTTTTCCTTCTTCTTCCATTCTACGAGGCTTTTCACTTATTTTACAACTGCGGAATACCAATTGAATTTAATTGAAATTATGATTGGTAAGGCAGTAACACCATCTCTGCCTTACATGTACGCTCGCACGATACGGTGTACAACTACACCTTCGGCGTGGCTGAGCCATGAAAACAAAACAAAAACAAAAAATGAAAAGGTACAGGGTGGAGGCGATTGCTACCCTGACGTATAAATATGCAATGAAGTGTTTGCTTGCGTGGTATGAGTATTCGGGTTTTCAGGTTCCACGGGCTTCTGCTCCTCTCGTGTTGCCTCCCCCCCTCCCTACTGTTGGTACCAGCGCGTACACTTTACACGGCGCCTGATGTTTTCATCCCTCCTATTCTTCTTAACCGTCATGCCTGATGTGTCATACACTTACACTACTGATGAATATAGTTTTTTTTTTTTTTTTTTTTTTTCGGTAAAACTTGGGAAGTTTGTTTCTTTTTTGGGGGCATATGCTTTTCGTATGTATACTAGGCTATACTCTATTCGACCAATGAAGCTGTTCTGCGAACTGTACCAGAATAGTGGGTAACAGGTGTTTTACAATATACGTTCGTTTACCATTCAAATCGAACCCACTTGTTACTCTTTTTTTTTTTTTTTTTTTTTTTTTACAAGTTCTACGAGTGGAATTGCATTCGTATGTACGCAAACCGTGAGATTCCCTTCGGGTTCTATTTTCATTGGAAATAAAACATCGATCGACCTTGGGCGAGCTCGAACTTTTTGTGCTGCTCTTTTTCTTTGCAGACTCTAGCATGAAAAAATAAAAATACAATTTCGCTTTTTTGACGAAAAAAAAAAAAAAACATCGAAAGTAATAAGTACAGCTCAATGTCGCTCCAATGATGACAAATACATTCCATCGCATGGACTTTTGTGTTGTTTTTAGATTATAAATTTACATGCGGTAAATGGGCAATTATCTCAGTTTGTGAAACGTTTTTCTTTTTCATGCTTTTTTTTTGTAAAAATCTCCAAGAAGATTTTTTTTCTTTCATATAATAACCTTGCATTATTTGTGTTTAGATATGAAAACTTTTTTTTTTTGGCTTCAGATGAATGTAAAAGTTAAAAAAAAACTCGAGTTTCTCGATTTGCAGGCCACAGTATATACACACATTGTATATGACAAATAAATACGTGTACAGTTGTAGGCTGGTGGTACATAGTTGAAATAATCGAAAGGTTTTTCTCATTTGAAAATAATTTAAATACTTGAAAGCCGGAATCCCAGCGATTTTCCAATATCAGATTCGAGCCCTCAGCCCCCTCGCTATACGGAAAGTTTCAAATAAGTTAGGCATCAATATTTCCTGGAACGCCAATTTAAAGACTCCGATGACGAAACAAGTTACCATCGAAGAAGAAGCAGTCGGTCTGCATTCCGCCGAAATTTTTCCGTAACATTGGAAACGAAGGGGTTGGCCTCGTTTGGTACTGAAATTGCTGCCTAATCTGCTGCACAACCACATATCTGTTATAGCCTTACGTAGAGTACACAAAATGTGTATGATGATGCTCGTCGAGAAACGACAGTTTTTCGGTAAATAATTCGTAAAACTGATATATATGTGCTCTTTTATGAAAAAATTAGAAAAAAAATCATAGTAACGTCCGTAAATGTATATTTTCCCTCTACTTTGTCCCGGAAAAAAACTGGAGATCTAACGTTACTTGACATATTTTTCTACCGTTGCATTCGCGGGATGCAAAAAACGAAAAAAAAAGAGACAAAGTGAAAATAAAATTGTAACAAATTGAAATTTCTTTGATTCCAAATATTGGTCGGGAGACCGCGCACGAACATATATACATATAGGCTCAGCGAAGGGAAAGAGCGAGAGAAACACGGCAGAGGCCGCGGTGTCGCACTGTTATTCGAAAAGCTTCCGGGGTATGAAATTTCTCCCCCCTCCCCCTCCCCCCACATCGATTTCACGCGGCGCAGCAGTGATCTTCTGGCATTTATACGCGCTCATTCTCTCTTGTCATCCATCAAACCTCCTTCCCCTTCCATCCAAGCAATAATCTTTCCCACCTGATCGCGCGTATAGGTGGGCATCAAATATGTCTCGAGGATGCTGATGCCGCTATAGCTACTTAAAAGTCGTCCCTGGACGCGATATACTGTATGGATACTCGTGCGACTTGTTGGTAAAAATCGGAAGAAAGACGGCGCTCTGATTGGAGAGGAAGAGAGGGGGTTCGAGAGGATGCGCGTGGCTGGATATTAGTATAAGAGAAGTAGGACCCTCTGTCGCGTATAATCGATTGCCGGGCGTGGGAGGTGCTCTCGACGACTCGAGGAGCCGTCTAGTACTACTACCTGATGTGCCTACTTAGTATACGCTATACGATGCATATATACTCGGAGTTTACGATGCATGACTTTGCCCTTCTCTACCCCGGTATAGGTACTACGTAATACATGGTGCAGCCATTGGGATGTTTCGCTCCCTGCGCGTGATCAATCGCAGAGCTTAATTTGAAAAACACACGCTCGCGCTGTTCTTTTGGGAATAAGGTTTTAAAAAGGGGTGAATAGCGCGAGAGCAACTCCCTAGGACTTGTATACAAGAAAAGAGAGAGAGTGATTTACGGATCATGTAGCTCCTCTTGGAAGTAGCTCATATACTTTTCCCCCTTTTTTTTCCTTTTCCACGTTATTTTAATGAACTAATGTTACGGTACACCTTGAAATTCAAGAGGAAATTACGGGTACAACCGGTCTAATTCCTGACTAAAAGTGGAAGAAAACACCCAAACACAATGTTTCCTTGTCCGACGAGTATTAAAAGTAATTCGCAGCGTAGTAGCAAAGGGCCCTCGGGTATAATCGGATGAAGCTTCCACAGCGTTCCAAGCCCTTGGAAACGAGAAAAAAATCCTCGTTATAACGTTTTCAGCGCTCACGTACGTACGTGTGTCCTTAAACCCTCGAATCGCGCTCTCCCGGATTAGAGATAAACACGGCTCTTATCTCCATCTGCTCCAGCATCTGTTTGGATCCCTTTGTTTTTCCGCCCGCGGCTCTTGGTGTATATACATACTATACAGCGCTATTTTGCCTAAAGAAAAAACGGGTCAGGGGGGAATGAATGAAAGGGCGACGCTCGGCGAAAACGACAGTTTAATCACGCGCCACTCTTACACTCCCTTTTCGCGGGAATTTGATTTGAATGGGGAATTGGATCGCGTTTGGAAGTGCACGGCTCGGCGTTAATTCGAGTAGAACAAGAGCACGCGCGCCTTTTACGATGAAAAATAAAAAAAAATAAAAATAAAAAAAAAGGATTTTGTTAAGTATACGTTTCACGTGTTGGGGCACGAGCGTAAAGACCGACGTGAAACTGATTTATCCTTCGAAATGAGTTACCGCGTTTTTTCATTACCATCGCGAGCGGGGAACAGGTTGTGTTTTTTCTTTTTTTTTTTCTTTCATCCGAAACAAGGGAAATCACTTAGACTAATGAGAAAAGAATGCGCGAGTGTAATAACGTATCGCACAGTCAACCCGACGTTTTCTTTCTCCCTCATTTTCTTTCTTTTTTTTTTTCACATATAGGCCAGGGATTTTCCGCCCAACGTCGCGAAACACGTTAGCTTTCAACTTCTCCGTTGTTTCGTATTAACGTCGATTTTACGAAATTAAATTATTTTGTATTGTATATACATAAGTATGTCATAGTAGAGGGACGCAACAAGTTACCGGCATCGATTAATATTTCACGGCTGTCGCTTGTGATGACATTAAGTAAGTCGATTGCATCATTAAATAAAGTATATGAATGGGACCAAGTCGAAGTTAAATTGCGTGTTTCAATGAATATTTTATGTACCTGCGTTTGAAAACTGCTTGATATTAATGTTAATTTAACTCGCTCGGGTTACCATTATTCGACATTCGTTGAAAATAATTTGCGTCAAGTTATCCATTTACTGCGAACGATGTATGCAAAGTGTATTGTAATTGTATAATAAACGAAACGGTGAGTAATTCAAATTTTGTTGCGTGAACCGAGATGGGTGACTGGCGTTTTGCGTTTTCGTCCAAAGGTAATGTAATAGTCTTTTTTTTTTTTTTTTGCAGAAAACGAAATTGAGTAGCCGTTTCAACAAAATTTACATTCCCTCTGACATCGAATTGCAAATATATTTTTTACAAAATTAATTCGTCGCGCGTTTTTAGCCAGAGCTCATGGAGATGTGTACGAAAATCAGCTCGTAACTTGAAAAACAGCTCGTCCTCCCCAAGTTACCTCTTTCACTAACAATTTTCTTAATGTTCCAGGCAACATATTTGTGATAGTGGCAATAATGATGGAGAAAAATCTTCAGTCGGTGGCAAACTACCTGATTGTGAGCCTAGCAGTGGCCGACCTCATGGTGGCGTGTCTCGTCATGCCCCTGGGAGCCGTTTCCGAGGTGCGTACGGACAAACAAACCCCCATGAATACACATTCCTCTTTCTGGCCGCTGCTCCTTACATCCGTATACTATACATATTGTATACACATATTGTACGCGTGTCCGGGGAAATTTAAAGTAACGAGGAGGGCATGTGTGTCAATTTGGGCGAATAAGCGGCAAACGAGCCTCCCGAGCGCCGTTACGAGACGGCTGGCTGCGCCAATGTTGCACGAGCTCGTTACGCGTTACGCGGGTTAAATTGGCGAAACGTAAAAGGTATATACCCCGGGCAAATTACATATCGCGCGATAATGTCAGACGCCTGTCGTTTCGGTGGTATATGTATGAAGGTAGACAGTGGTAGGGCACACCATTGCCCCGATGTATGGATGAACATTGGAGTGTCCTTATCAACCAAAAATCGAATTACCGTCACTATTTTTCACTCTGTGCTCAATTTTCGAAAAAAAAGTACCCGAGCAGATGGTTAAAGTGATTTTTTTTCCCCAACGAAGTCAGTAACTCGGATTCGTGCGTAACACGTACCCGAGTTTCGCTTATTTCGCAGTTGAGCGTGTAAAGACAGACAGACAGGGGCGCGCTCGGCTATTGTAAAATTTTCGTGTGACATAATACAACACGCGCTGGTCGTTAAATTCGACGCGACAGCATATCGTTCGGTTTAACAGGATAATGGAGTGACGAGTCCGCGACGCGCCACGTGTAGCCGAGCGATTTCGGATATCGATTTTACGATTCGCTTTTCATTACAGCGCGGATGTTGCGAAGCGCCGGCTCGAACCAATTTTCGACGCGGAGACGGGGCCGCAGCCTGCAACACCATTATAAATGATCCCTCGCGTACTTCGAAATCGTTTTACCGTGAATTATTGGAAAAATTGCGAAACCGACGTGATCACTTTATGAGCGACATCACCTGCACGTGCTCCATTCTTTAAATACATCCAAGTGGGAGATTAAAAATTTTAGGGACTATAATCATACATACGAGAGTTTTTTAACGGGTGTTTTTTTTTTTTTTTTTTTTTTTTTTTTATTATTATCTGCAGCCGTGTGTACCTAACAGCTCTCGAAGGTCAAGGAATAAAAACGTTAAAAAACTATTCCAATTGCCTAAAAAAAAGCATGTAAAATAAAAAGCAATACCCAATAGCATGAAATCACACATACTTCGTTCAATCATCTCAACAAAATCTAATTTGGAACACAAATAATAGTACAATGAAACTCGAGCATTTTAATTTAAAACAAAAAACTGATTACCGGCTTACAGACCTGATAATTTTTTTGTTTTTTTTTACTTCGGTACCACTTGTCTAGCTCATACTTTTTGCTCGATTAGCCATTAACGCGAGATAATTTAACAACAAAGAAGAAGAAGAAGACAAAGGAACTCCACTGATCGAGCGAGGAAAGAAAAAAACCATCCGATGACTGGGCGCCCAACGCGGCGAAGGTAATCTTCCTCGTTGGAAAAACCACGAGGGCGCGAAGGGGAAAATCTTATTTCGCAGTCATCCGCACCCGAACGGGAAATGAAAGGCTAAACAAGGAAGTTGGCTAAACGGCGATACCCCACCCACCCCCGTCGGGGGAAAAGGGACAAAAGGGGGGGGGGCGTGGCTTTTGTTTCTCCTGAAACCGGGAAACCACTTATAAAGTTCCACGGAACAAAGTTAATGCCACCCTCCCCCAGGGGATTCGCGGTCTTCCACGTCCCTTTTGTCCAAGTAATTAGCTCGGGTGGTCAGCGTCGTTTCGTGCATCAACAATCGCAGGCTCACCCCTTGCTCGCGACGCGCCGTTATTCACAGGATTCGAAAGCGCCGCTCTGCAACTACACTTGCCCCCTTGCCGTTGACACTCAATTGAACCGCTTCCCTGTGGATATTATGCGACGTGGTGTGCGAGCTTGCAAGCTCTCCGATGCAGGCGTGGAGGAGTAGATCAAGTCGTGCATTGATTATTCGAGGGTGGGCGAAACACGCTGAGGACGGCACTGTTGGTCAAGCTTCGGCCAAGGGGATTCACTGAAAAGCGTCAAATGTACTGAAAATGATTTTTTCTCTCTCTATCATTTATTTACTGTTTTTTTTTTAAGAATCATGCATATGTTAGGTATTTCGTGCTTTTAAGATCTGCTGTCAGCCGGTACCCTTTCAAAAGGTAAGTCCACACAGAAGAGAGGGGATCTTTACGTTTGGCATTTTCAAACATTCAAGATGATGCACGATGGGAGTTAATTTCGGGAAATTTCTTGCCAAGCCAAAACCGAGGAATTTTAGGTCTGCTCTTGGCTGAATTCGCCCGGCATTTCGTTTGGTTCGGTACTAATTAAATTACAAGGGCACACGAGCTATTCGTTTGAGGAGGGGTTGTTAATAATCGCGTCGATTTCGAGCGAAGTGGTCCTTTGAAACTTTGAAAATTCGCATTAAATTAATGAGCAGCTCCAGCGATAAAGTGATGATACACGGGGTCCTATCCATAAAAAACTGCGGACCGAATGTAATTCGGCTTTTTTCGAAGTTGCGAAGTGTGCGACAAAATTTGAACTCCCGGTGTTTGGCAGGACTTCTTTCAGCGAGTTTTCACGCAAAAAAAAGGTCACTTTTTATCTGGAATCAACTCGACCTAACCATCATTGAACCGCCATCAATACAAGCCTATAAATGTATATTGATTTCATGTCGGTTTAATGTACACGTACCAATGAACAGTGCGGTCGTGGGGGGTTGTACATATCCGTTATAATGTAGTCGGTAACTCCCGCAGTATCGGCGACAAAGTTGCTGCTTAGCTGCTCCATAATACACTTGGGGCGCTTTAATCACCGATACGGATCTAAAACGCAGAAGAGCGAGTAGACTTTATGTTGCGCGTGCGTTTTTATGTACCTAGGCAGAACAAAATTGCGCGCTGTATCCTCTTCTTATCGGAAAAAGTCCCTTTTTTTTTTCAAAAAAACTTTGAGATGACGCATGTGCATTGTTTCCCACTCGAACCCCAGGAGACAAAGAGATATGGAAACGAGGGTGGGCGCAGCTAAGCAACCCCTCGGTGAGTTCACCGGGTAAGGAGAGAGCGAGAGAGGAATCCTATCCGGAGCTGTCCCCTTTATTTTTTTTTCCCCTGGACTACTTTTTTTCCTCGCGAGGAAATTTCTTCAAGTCAAGACGACGCGTGTGCACTTCCCCCTCCTTCTCGTATGTTCCATCCAGTACATTTAACAGAGCTACTTGTAGCGACGGGGCCCACATTCATTTATCTCCGGGGGCGTATTTTCTTTTATTTGTCCGTCCCGAAAATTTTATTACAAAGTGGATTTTCCATCCGGAAATTATCTGGAAACCATAACTCATTTGGATTCCACGGGAAGAGGGAGAAAGAAAAAAGGAGGGGAGGAGGGGGTGAAGGAATGTAATTTCATTCCGATGAATATTATCCGCGGTGGAATCGATTATAAATAAATACGACGTCAATATGCGAAACGTCCTATATTGCGTCCCGTCGAAATTTATCGACATACTCCTCCTCCCTCGAGATTATCTCCTTGGGCGTGTACTGTTATAGCGCTATCTTGCGCTTCCAAACAAAAACTTTAACTTAATTTCGTTTTTATAGTCTTGTACATTTTTTTTTAAAGATATCGAACGTGTTCTCGTTCGTTTTAAATGTGATTGAAAAAATTAACTTTCCCGAAGTTTTAGCTGAGCGGTGGATAGCTCATGCTTATCTCGACTGGAGCTGTCCTAGTGTGGAGAAAAGAAGATGAATCGAGAGGGACAAATAATTGTCTTCGGTCAAACGCTAACAAAGTTTGATTTCATCAAGTTGTGAAGTTCTACTTTTTGTCGTGCAGACTATCAGGATTATATTACAGAAAAAAATATTTTATTTTTCAGAGATCCACATTTTTTTATACCGCTCCTGGGTGCAAAAGTTCTTCCGGCAAAACTTTTGAAGAAAAATAGGGAGTTTCTGATACTTTCAAGTTATTTTTTTTTCCAATTATTGAGGTGTAAGGATCTACGTTTTTTTTGAGCAAATAACTGTATTTTTTTATGATCCTTTATTATTTTTCCTAAAGTCAAATGTATACTGTAAGACTTAAACTTTTTCAGCAATGGCCGAAAAATTACTTTGTAAGATTTTTTGAATATCTTTTTTCAACTTGCATCAGGGCTAGTTTAGAAGTTCAGTGTATGGGTGGAAAGAGAAGTTTAGAATGGTTAGTTGGGGTAGTCGAGACAGGGGTAATGGGTTTAGTTGGGTAATGGAAAATAGGGCAAGAGGGTCCTAGTGCGGTATGAGAATCAACGCCCTTCCAACGGAGACAGTAGAGGGTGCCCGTAAAAATTACCCAAGTAATTTACGGATTGGAAAAAACAACGTTTGATATCTTGTGGTAAATTGGTTGAAATGGTGAAATTTTCTCATATGTTTCGTTCAACTATCTCAACAAAATTTATGTCAAAATGAACAAACTGTTTTTTCGAAATTAAGTATTTTTGCCGACAAATGAAAAGTTTCAACTAAATTACCTAATGGAGTAATCTCATGAAAATTACTTTAAAACCCGAAGATGATACAAGCTCTTTCTTGGAAACTTGAATATCGGCAAATTTGTGACGGTACACTAGCATATTATTTTTCATCCGACACCCGATGCAGGTGTGTACATATACTTTTCTTTAACGCCATCGCAAAAAGCTATCGATAAGCCAGTAAATATTTGCAAATTATGCATACCTTAAAAGCACTCGGCTGGTGCCTGAAAAGTAAGAAAAAAGCGCCTTCGCGAGAGTAAAAAGCCTGAAAGAGCGTGAGAGTTATCCTCTCCTCCCCACCTTTTTTTTCAACGTTTACCCTTTTTTCTCTCTCTCTCTCTCTCTGCTACCGAAGACTCCGTAACCCTTAGCTTACATGTTTTTACAACAGCCAAATACACTTTTTGTTATGAAAAGTGCATATATTTTTCGCATAAAAAAAAA